AATCGACCATGTTGAAGAACAGAACACATATAAATAACTACTGAGGGAGACCCTTCAGCAAACCAGTCCCCTGGCACACCGCGTCTTTGACGAATACGACAGTCCTTGCACAGTCCGGCTATTCGCATATGATAAGCGGCTTGCTACCTGTACCCACTTCCTTTTCATGTAAAAGGTCATTGCTTAATTACCCACGTATACTCGAAATCCCAGAGATGCGGTAGGCGGGGCTACCTTCTTCAACTAAGCCAAGGTTTTGGTGAGATATTTCCATTTTGACAGAACTATGGTCATGTCTTTGTCAACACAGAACAAGATGACAGTTGTCTCAAATTGAAATATACCACGAGTAACCCATCCTATGCTGTTAACAAGTGCCCCGCCTACTCCGTCTCAGGGATAAGGAGTGTACTTGTTTGCGTGTTTCACTGCTTCGGAAGTCGCTGTGTCCAAACTGTCAGCGCTCTCTTCTTTTGCGGCAGGCCATGGCAAAAGCCCCATCACCGCTATCATGCTTGGGAAAGTCATTAACGATAAGTGAAGAGGATGAGCAGGGATCATTCACTAGGGCATGAAAATTTCTTCCAGAACGAAAGGGGCATCCATTGAACAATTGACCCTTTCTCTTTTCGAAGACTTTCATTTTCCCTTCTAAGCTTGTCTGCGGAACGAAGGGTGACTTACTTATCATCAGTTGGTGCTTGTGGAACAGCGGCTTCTTCTGGGACAATAATTTTTTGTTCCACATCACCAAGTTCACCAAGTCGTGCACGCAGTTGCGCGATCTCATCGTCCTTCTTTCGCAACTCTTCGTCTTTCTCCGATAGTCTGAATGTATACGAATATTACTACTACTGTTGATGTATCTGCAGAGTAAGCACTTACAGCAGTTTTGTTTTTTCTAGATTATCTCCATGCTCCAGTTGGTCTGCGGTCTGTTCCACATGGTCTGCGGTCTGTTCCACAGGTGATTCAGTAGATGTTTGTCCTTGTAGTTCACTAAAATGAGAACTGCTTCATATTCAAGTTTAATAAGTTTCCACAAAGTAGGCGGTATTTTTTAGCCAACTGACTGTAGCACTTCATCTTACACCAATCAAATCCTGATGACAACCCCGCTTTCGCTGGGTCACCAAATTGTGGATCTCCCAACCACAAGTATCGATGCAGTTCATAATGAACTGTGTCCTACACAGGGCACATCGTTGTTGGAGATTCCCCAACAGAGGAGGGGTCTTTATTAGTCACTGAGAAGAAATTTATTTTGATAGTTGATTTTTCGTGTTCGAGGGACGTTGTAAAGGGAGGGGGACGTCGTATTTCCCTTCTGACTCTCTGAGAGAAGATGCTGACTTTTCGTGGCTTTTCCTGTTTCGTAAGAGCCCCCCTAAAAAAAAGCGGGATTGTACGGACTCGACCA